TATATATATATATATATATATAGGGATACTACGCAAGTGTACATATCGTTATCAAGTAATATTAGACTTTTTGATTAAAACCTGAATATCGAACCTACAAGGAAGATATGCAATATGCACTTTTTAAAAAACTTCCTATTTTTAAAAAGATAAATATTTAAATTAAAGATATTTTTGTAGTAATAGAAATTTAAATATTTTTGGTATTTTTGATATTTTGATAAAAACAATAATAATTTAAAAAGATAACTAGAATATTTGTATAAGAAAAATAATAAATATGAAAATATCTTTCTTCTTATCATGAATCAGTAATAAGTATAGAAATTCCGTTGTGGAAATATGCAAATTGTGTTGTGCCAAATATGAATAATAATATTCTTTACCCTTATTAGAGATGCTATAAAGAACAATGACTAATTTAAAGTTTGAATAGTTCTGAAGATTGGCTAGACAGAGAATATATTAGCTCTCATTTTAGAGTTCCCTCGATTCCCTCCACCTAAGGGCTAACATCTCATATCAGAACCTACAATAATAAATTAAGTTAGGGGCTTTAACCTGTCACTTTAAAGTCCTATAACTCAACTCTACACCCTTTAATGAATATTTCCCTATTTATTTGCACTCAATCATATGAACTACATTCTCGTTCATACAACCTGATGTGATTCTTTCCAATTATTGACTGAGACAATACCAGCCCGGTTCTTACATGTTCTCACAACAAATTTTAACATCTAAATTGGTCAAATCAAGAAGTAAATGAAGTGCATGGATTTAAATCATCACAACTTTTTCCAACATTAAAGATCAATATCTTCCACAACTTTCGTCCAAAATATAATTACTTATAATTTTAAGAAGAAAGATAAAGAAAACTACTCAGAATTCATAGAGAAAACAAAACCACACTTTAGTTTAAATGTAGAAATCATTGTCAAACCAACAAGTCTCAATTAAAACAAAAAATAGTCTAAAATAAAAGATAAAAACTTATCTCAAGTCATCCATGAAACTCTTGAAGTTCCCTTGAATCTCTTCTCTTTTACAATCACTCAAAATAAAATGACAAAAATAATAAAGTAAATAAAATTGGTGCCTAAAAATCTCTCCAACTAACTCCCCCAATTTAAGAACTTTCAAAACTTTCCAATACTTTCAGGATTTTTTTCAAAGTCCTCTCTTCTTTCTTTTATAATTTTTCAAGAGGTGCCTTGGTTTCTCTTCAAAGATATGTCTTGATTCGATGTATTGCCTTAAGAGATGCATCCTTTCGCGATAATTTTCATCCATGGTGGTTATAAACCACCTATTAAGCCAATAGGTGCCTCAAAAAACCTCTTCAAAATTTGCAAAAATCGAATTTACTCATCAAATAACTGCCACTGACGCTTAAGCGGGGGGCCTCTGGAGCTTAGGCGCGGCCTTCTCTGTTTAACCATCGCTTAAGCGCCAGATCTGATGCTTAGGCGTCAAAACTCTTTTGCACATTTTTCTTCTTTTTGCTCAAAATTTGATTATTTTTAACTCCTTTAAGCATTTTTCATCTTTTTACTTGTATCTGCAAGAAAAACACAAAAATACCTTAAGAAAAACACAATACCTTCCATGAAAGTGCAATATCTCAAAAATAGGTATAAAAATATGTCTAAAAATACTATATATTTTAGGTGTATCATGCTACATGCAAATTTTCTCGAGTAATAAGATTCACAACTTTACATGCACCTATATTGCTATATCTTAAAATGAAAATAACATGGATAAAAATATTGATTTAAAAAAAAAAACGTTAGAACTTATGAGAATATGCTTCACATCGTTACAATAAATTGTAGAAATTATGCATCACAACTTTAGAAGCATTTAGTGTAACAACTGAAATGGATAAAAGACTTGTGCACATCGAACCTCTTATATATAAAAACAAGTCATACAACAAATATAAATAAATTTCATATAATGAGACCAACAAATATTTAGGAAAAATTCTAAAATCCTAAATTATTACCATCTGATCCAATACTACCTTAAACTAATTCACGGAATAGTACCTCTATGATGTTTCATAGTGACAGATGCTTCATTTGGAGATGAGGATGAACTAGAGCGAGGCTTGGTGAGTTGCTTCCTCTGAGCTGTGGTAGAAGGTGCAACTCGTTGTTGCATCTTTGTGGCAACAGATCTGACTATATGTGGCACACTTTTAAGAAAAGTTAGTATAGCTTTTTGAGACGGGCCGTGCTGTCGGAAAGGCCGAAGATGAGTTCACACGAACTTGTGAGCGAGATAATAGTAAGTGGATTGCTGAAATGAGGGCTTTCTATTGGGTTGGGAATTTATTTTGGTTACCAATGAATTTTTGGTGGATTTTAATTTGTCTGTATTAAGTTTAATACTGTTGGATTTTGGATTTTTTTTAGCCAATGGAAAAAGCATCACTATTAGCTTTCCACAAAATTCTGATAGTATCTGGTGGTATTTCTACTAGAATTTTGTTGAAAATTTCAGCTGATAGAATCCACATTATACCACATGTTCTCTTCTATTATATTGTTTTTGTAAATGTTCATCATACACCTAAGGCTGAGGCTTTATTTGCTTCAAATGGCGAGTATGGTTATTATATACTGCACCATAATTTGAAATTAAGTGATTAAATATAATGATTATTGATTTGGCTCGTCAATTGTTTGATTTGATACACCTGTTGTGATATTTTTCGGTCAACTTTTTGTTTCATTAACATTGCACTATTTGACTTTGTTGCGACAAAGTGGTTTGACAAGTCCGGCCTAGGGCACACGATTTTTTCTGAAAATACAAAGGGACATTTACATACATACCACTAAATTATATATATTTACACATCTGACACCTAAACTTTCATATTTAGATACATAACACTCAAATATTTGATATCACATCAAATATCAAATGCAACCTGGAAATTAAAAAGAAATGACAAAAAAAAACAAAGGAACATAATAATATTTTTTTTATATTTTGGTTTTATGCTCAAAATTGATTGAATTGCACTAAACAGGTAATAAAGACGAAAGAAAAACTTGGTTTGTTTAAAACTACAAGTATAGATTAGGCATTGGTAACTGGAGACTGAAATGAAAATTAGCATTTTTTTGCATGATTGTAACCGCCTCAGCTTTTTTAGCAGGTAATGGAAAAAAGCAACTTTACAATAGTGACTGATGGAGAGGTTGAAGTTGCACAGTCTGGACAGTATAAATTAAACCTTCCAATACAAGTTGACGAATCCAAGGTCTGCGTCGGGTTTCTATTTATTTATTTATTTATTTTAGTTGAGGTTCTATCTTATAAGTTTGAAAGTATGAATACGTCATCATAAATTTGCTTCTCCTTGGTGGATTGCAGCTTGATAGGAGCCTTCTTGCAAAATATTTTAGAGACCATCCTAATGAAAATCTTCCAAAATTTTCAGATAAGGTTTGTATATTTTTTGGTGGATTTACAAATACTATTTTTTAATTATTTATGTTAGATTGCAAATCTTAAAATGAAATTTGGATTAAGTTGTACGTTATGTCCGGGACTTGTTTCTAGCTAAATTATAATTACCTTAGCTGTTTCCTTATATAATTTGTCTTTACACTTCACAGATTTTTTTTCTATCTTAAATTAATCAATTTGTTGAAATTCTGCCCTAATCATAGCAAAGAACTTAACACAACCTATCTCTTTATGACCCTCAGATTGCAATATGTATGCTTTGCCATTTAAACATCAGCTCTTAATTCTTTTTTAAATTTATTCCTATTTTGTAATACTTTTAAGAATTATATATATGACTCCTCTTATACAAAGAAAAGAGATTCTTTAGAGTTTTTATTCTATTAGTTATTATCTATATGATATTAGAACAAGGTTAGGGTGTGCCTTCCAACATTTATTCTTATTCTCTAAATTTAGGATTTTCACTTTCAATCTTTTCCATCTTGCCGAATTCTCTTTCGATTCATTAGGCCTGAGTTTTCTTTTTGGACTTTCCTTCAAAGGAATCGACCATAAAAAATGGTAAAAATTAAACTAAGGATAATAAGATTCTCGAGAGTTTTTATTCTATTAATTATTCTCTACATGATATTAGAACAATTTTATAGCGTTCCTTCCAACCTTTATTCTTATTCTTTAAGGTTATGATTTTCACTTCCTTATCCCTCTTGTAGAATTCTCTTTCTATCCATTATGTCTGGGTTTTTGGACTTTCCTTCGAAGAAATCTACCATAATTAATGGTGAAAATTAGACCAAAGGAGTACTTCAGGTATTTCAAGCATTTTATCGCTTGAACGGGAAAATTCATCTTCAATGATCCCAAATTGTGAATACTTTTCTAAAGAGAATTAGAAAGATCTAATACCTTATCGATCTATCTTTGGAGCTCAAAAACCCAAAGTTCTTATTTTGGGAAGATTGACATGGTTGTGAAATACCATGCTACCGGAGATCGGTGTGAGGTTTATGTCTCTCCATCTCAAAGGAAGTTTCAGATGGAGTTAAACAAACCTAATAAAAAATTAAAGATGCTGCACTTATTTTTGAAATCAAGACAAGCTTTTCATTAGCAAACAAGATAACTTTCTTGTCATCAATATTTTAACAACATGAGTTGGACTACTACCAATATCTCAAGGTTTTTTGCTGCGAGGATGTGGTGACCCTTATAAAATTCATCAAGTGCGAAAGAAAATTTTGAATTTTGGCAGGACTCAATAACGAATATTATCAAGTTCGAATTCAAATCTTTATGTAGAGAAAATCTCCATCATTTGAATGAAGTATTTGATCTTGTACGAGCAAAAGAAGGAAGAATGATGGTGATGATCAATGGTTTTATTCTCGAGATATTTGTCAGGACAACTTTTGAATCACAAGGTAAGGACTTTTGTCACAGAATCTTCTCCAAAAGAAGGACAAAATTCTTATTTCAATGGTAACGTCGGGTACAATTACTACAAAAAGTAAATACACATAAAAAATAAATGTTGAAAATTTCATGGAAAACCTCAATATTATGGAGGATGTACGGGCATAAATAAAAAAATACAAGCCTATCTATTGGAATTAGAAAAACTCAATTCAAAAGAAATAAAAAAAAATATGGAATTTTCTCAATTTCTTAGAGAAATTATCATGATCTTAATCTCTTGTTTAGAATGATATGATTTCTAATTCTTATGCCCTTAGTGCTTCTAATAGTTCTTCCCCTTTCTGGATTTTAGATTCATGAGACAATAACCACTTGACAAAACTTGCTAATATATTTCAAACAAACAAATTCTCTCCCAACAATAAGAAAAGAAAAGTTGTTGATAGATCTTTAACAATTATTGCATGAGATAGAAATCTTAATTTCTTCGAACTTAACCCTCAGTAATGTATTACATATCCTATACCCTGTAGTTAATTATTATCTATTTACAAGTTTATCTAAAGTCATAACTACTAAATCATTAATTTTTATGGATATTGTGACGTGGGGGCTATGGAGGACCGACCGGCCCTCAAAGGGAGGCGCGG